CTAGTTTCCAGTAGTTTGGGGTGAGAGCAGCCCGTTTCCTATCAGTTTGCCCCTGGAGTTCGTGCATAACTTGCTTCGTCGTCGCCCACGTCGAAATTCCCTTTGGCCATTGCCCCACTGCCCCTTCCCACCAACCACCACCTTTTTTGTGTCTTCGGAGGATTTTAGTTGCCATATGCACATATGGGGATCCCCAGTTCCGGGATCGCCCTTCATGCGCCCGCAAAAAAGAGGGCTCCCTGCCTGCGGAATGTGGTACTGCCGCCCTTGGCGCACAGCGTGCGGATTGGCTGAGCGCGCACTGAGTGACTGACTACCCCGAGGAATGCGTGGTATGCAAGAGGCCAGAAGCAACCATTCAACAGGATGGGGAGGGGGAGGATGGGAGCGACCCATGTCTGCGATGGACTCAGGGAGCACGTGTGTTCCGAGCCATGGCGCTCAGTCCGGAGAGGGGAGGGAAAAAGCCCTGAGTGGCGTGTGCCTAGTCGCCATGTGGGAGTGGCTCAGTGTCTTCCGATTTAGTTGTTTAGACTCTCCCCCCTCCTCTGCTCGGTTGCACGCTCTATATGTTTTTCCTCTCCCCCCCCCCTCTCTTTTGCTGGGCGGTGGTTGAGACTGCTGGTAGTTAGGATCGATTCTGCTGTTGCTTAAGTCGCTGCGGCAGACAGCAGCAGCAACGAGAAGCAGCAGTGGTAGTATCGAGGAGATCAACGAAGAAGGTGCATTTATGGCAGGCTGGCCAGCTGAAGTTGTAGGCTCAGCGCGGCTCCTTCTCTGCCACCTGCCCCCCCTTGCCTCTTAGTGCCCTCTTAAGTCATCCCACCGCCCCCCAGGGGGCGTTACCTCCCACTTTGGGAACCACTGCTCTAGAGCATCTTTTCAGAATCACATCCAAAAGACTTTGGAGTCCTACTAGATACTTACCGGTTACTTGCCTAGATATTTGCAAAGCTTTTGTCTTTTGTATTAACAGTGTTGCAGAATTATGTAATTCTTCATGTTAGGTTGCATGAATATAACACCTCTGTGTTCCTATTTGTGGGCTACCTAGGCACATTGATAACATTCACTAAACCAATTTTTTATGAACACAGTTTGTGCAACAAATTGCAATAGTTTGGTTTACACATAATACTGTTTGTGGACATGCCAAGAGCAAGAGGTCTTCAATTAAAAACGATTCGTTTAAAGGGGACTAACTCAGTTTTATTGCCACCAAGAATTACTTGATGAAATGGGCAGCTATATAAATTGGATGGATAGATGATAATGCTCACAAAAAGATTCAGTTTTTAATTGCATGATTGCTTTTTGAAAGAGCTAGAACATGGATTGATAATAATGGCAGTTATAATATTATCTATGATACCACTGAATTATGTTCTTTGAATCTTCAATTTAAAAATAACTAGGTGACTGTCTTTACAGATAATAAAATACTGTAAAATATCTGTTGCTACATTAAACACCACAAGATTTCTGCCTTTTACATTTGTTAAATTTATTTTTTTGATGTCTGCAACATTGTGCAAAATAGCATGATGGTGCCTGCTTCCTGAAAAGATTGCTGATCTTTGAAGCAGAGGTAAGTTATCTTTGTGTAGTAATACTTACAGCTTTGAATTCATGAATCTTCATTGTATGTTTTCTTTTTTAGGCTTTCTTGGGTCCTACTGTACACCAGTCTGATATTTGTCATGTCTCTTCTTATGTCGATCATTGCAACATTCTCTTCGCTTTTCCCCAAAAGTAGCTGCGTTGTGATATTTCTTCTTTTTTTCCTGTATGGAATATCTTCCGTAAGTGTTTGTGTGTGTGTGTGTGGTCATTGTTACTATATTGTGGTTACCAGTTATGTTTTAGAGTCTTATTTGACCTACATACGCAATTAGCTACAGCTATGGTTTTCTTTTCACTGAATGATAGCTGGCAAAGGTCTGATGCAGTTTTATTTGCTTAGATAGCTTAACAGATGTTGCTTCTTATTTTGTTTTGAGTATATTTTCTGATTTACCTAAGTGTTTTCTGTCTTCAGACAAGCAATTTGTGATGATTGCAGACATCACTATTAATAACAAATATTTATATAGTCCAAAATGCACTAATATTAAAATTATATTAATAACATGACATATATGAAAATAAGTATATGATCTAGCTTTTCATTGTTTTCTGGTCTGGTTCTGTATATTAAATTTGTTGTCCATTCTTACAATGGAACAGTTGTGCAAATTATATAATCAGCACATTGTTATTCTCATTTTTAATTATTTACACATCAATTAACAAAACTAAAAATACATAGAATGTCATGATTTCACTTGTCTCTCAGTCACTGACATTCTTGATCTGGAAAGGGATCTGTTTGAAAAGGTAATTTGTTCTTGAATACAGTATTATTTTTTTCCAACTCACAATGAAAACATATCTTGCCTTTAGTAGAATAGTTTTATATATTACATTTTATATTTTTACTTATATGTTCAGTAAAATTGAATATTGCAGTCTATGAAAACCAGGTTATTCTAGAAATTTAGAAATACCTTGATCATCTCTGACTTTTAAATCCTTTGGCCACCCCCAAAACATATAATTTAAAAATTAAAAAAAAATCCAATGAAAACAATTGGTATGTTAAATTTAAATGATTGTAATTATTGCAATATCAATACAGAGGGCATCATTTCAGCATTTTACTGTAAAGTTTCTAATGCATTGAAATATTTTTTCTTTTCTGTTTAGGTTTTCTTTGCATTCATGTTGACTCCTCTTTTCAAAAAATCAAAACATGTTGGTACAGTTGAGTTTTTGTCAACCCTGGCTTTTGGTATTGTGGGTCTGACAATTTTCCTGGTAGAGGATATTCCAAAATCCTTTGTGTGGCTGATAAGCCCTCTCTGTCAATGCACATTTTTAATTGGCGTTGCACAGGTTAGTAAAATATATTATTTGCATATTGCTATACAAGTTTATATGGTTCAAATCCCATCTATAGACACTAGTGAGAGAAAGGCAGACATAGATACAATATTTGCCTTTTCTATACTTGCAGTAAACATGTTATTTGCTTGTTGCTATTTTCTTTATCAGTTAAAAATACTTTTAAAAAAAAATCAAGGATTGATTTCTGTAACATACCAATACTTTTAGAATAGGAATTGAAAGATACCAGCTTCTTTAGTGAGCACTGTACAGCTATTTCTTAGGTTATGACAGCAATTGGGACCAGGGTTGTTGTTGTTAAGCAATGCAAAGGTAAAGCACAGGTCACACAATCACAGTGATAGGGGTCCAAGTTGCTATCAAAATTCAGGAGCCCTGGCAGTGGAGTGGTTAGAATGAGTATTGCAGGCAAACTCTGCCTATAGTCAGGAGTTTGATCTTGATGGGGCCAAGGTTGACTCACCCTTCCATCCTTCCAAGATTGGTAAAATGAGGGCCCAGATGATTAGAGGCAATATGCTGATACTCAGAGTATAGTACAGTATAATGGAGTAGTACATAAGTCTTAAGTGCTATTACTATTGCTATAACTCCCAAATGTGTGAGTTTGGGTCATTAAATAGGAAGAGGTAAGACTTTGAGGTAGAAAGTGTGGGCGGTGCTGCAGATGAGTACTAGGAAGCACAAGCAGGTCAGTGGCGGCACAGGAGGATTGGTGGAGGCTGAGGTCAAATTGGCAGAGGCCATACGGGGGCCACAGAAAGGAGGGGATGCCACAGGCAGGCGCATGCTACAGAGTGTGGTTGGCATTGGGTGCTACAGAATAGGAGACGTCTGGGATCTTATAGTCCACAGTGGACTTTTTGTGAGAAAAGGTGGCAAAAGTGATTTACTGGGGTGTCTTGCGACCTTCCATGTTGGCTTCCCCATTTATTTTGTTTGTCAGAAGATGGCAAGGAAGGTCACAAATGGTGATCATGTGATGCAGCTTGCTGCAGAGTAATCATGACCCAAGCAGGGTCACAACCATGTCACTGCAGTCAGAACATCAAGGACTGATCATAAGTCCATTTTTTGAGTGATCGCTGAAGCAGTGGACGTAAACTGAAGACTATTGATATGTAGGTAATGATTATTAGTTGCAATCTTGTTTAGAAGCTTTATTAACAATACTTTTATGAAACAGTTTATCTTTGATGTTAATTTAGGTCGTAATAAGTTCATTATGTTACAGCAGAAACAACAGTTACTCTTCTTCTCTGGAAACCATTTCTATAGTAAATGTTTGCATGCTATATTCTGGTCATTGTATTGCTTAATACTGCTTAATATTTTTTTCATAAAGAGTCATGAGTTTATATGACATTTCAGATCAAAAAGCAAGGTTTTGAAATTTGCAATAAAAAATGTGGATCAACAGGACAAAAGACTGACCATTTGAAAACATGGTGATACTTATATGCGCAGTAAAATGTGTGCTTATTTTTAATATATTAATTGTCTGAGTTTGAAGATAACAATGAATTTTAGAAATATTAAAATTAGTATGAGTAAAGCTAATTATAAAAGTAAACAATAAACAAGCTCTATCCAAAATACCCAACCTAACCTAACCAGGTCAATGATGAATCCTTAAGAATAAAGTGGTTTTATGTGCCAAATTGTACTAATTTGCAATGGAGTGCCATAACTGTTAATTACTTCCCTAATATTTTAATACTATAATGGTATTCCAAATAATAATCAAATTCCATATTTGTTTGCAGGTTATGCACTTAGAAGATTATGAAGGAGGAGTTAATTTTTCAAATTTAACTTATGGACCTTATCCACTAATTATTGCTATACTGCTCCTGGCTCTTGACAGTGTGCTTTATCTTCTATTAGCCGTTTACTTGGATCAGGTTATTCCAGGTATGATTGAATGACTAAGAAAAATGATTTCAACGAACTTTAATCATTTATTTGATCTGCATTGAATTCAAAACTTAAGATATATGTATCAGCAATGTGCATTTTATATATATTTGTAGCAATACCTACATTCTGAAGGATCAGTACATTTCTCTGCAGGGATTTTTTTTGCAGTCCGAGTACTTGATACAAAAGTATAGTATGGTTGCTTCATAGCACTAGTACATTTGTTGAAAGTTAAATTTATGACTATTTCTGGTGTTATTTCATATGTATTACAATATAACATTCAGTTTTTTAAAAATTGGCACTTAATAAGCCTGAACTAATTGATTTAGCCTTTATAGTTTACATAACCATTGTCTCTTAGAGAGTCATAGGAAAATGTATGAAAAACTCTTTTAAGGACAATAATATACAATCTGACATACAGTTTATTTATACCTTTTTTCTTGAAAAGTGAGAAATTGTTTGTTTTAATAAAAAAAATAGCAATTTCCATTCAGATGTCTCTTTTTCATTTTAGATTGGCAGCAAATCAGAATTTGCCATTCTATTTAAACTGGGCTAGAGTGCATATATTCCAGTCCAAACCACTTCTAGTTTAATAGAGAACATTTCTCTATATGTTGAGGTAGGGAAAGTACTTAACCTCGGAGTTAAAGTTACAAATGAAACTTTTACTTGCGCATTGCATCTCTCCAATGTCTCGAAGGCATTAAAAAGTATAAATACTTGGAATGCATGAGAATAAATTCTGCCAGTTGTTGAATATTATTGTGCATAGTTTATTTCATGTATACTCTTGTTACATTAAAAAAAATAGTTCACCACAGATGGGTTCATTCTGGATGTTAAACCATATGTTAAAAAATACGTTGTTGAATATTTCATAAGGAAAACTCAATCTGCATTTTGTCATAGTGAGTTATATGAACCCAGTGATATACTTCTTGATCTATTTGAGCAATAGAGTTTTGATTCATTTTATAATAAAAATTTAAGACCATGTTCTTTTGCTGGAGCTTGATACAGGTACTCCTTGCTTACAACAGTTTGTTTACTGGCCAAAGTTACAACAGTACTAAAAAATGACTTATGACCGTTTTCACACTTACAACCATTACAGCATCCCCATGGTAATGTGATCAAAATTCAAACACTTGGCAACTGACTCATATTTATGACAGTTGCAGGGTTCTGGGGGCCTTTTGTGACCTTCTGACAAGTAAAGACAATAGGGAAGCCAGATTTACTTAAAAACCATGTGACTGACTTAACAATTGCAGTGATTCACTCAACAATGGTGCTGAGAAGGGTCATAAGATGAGGCATAGCTCACTTAACAACTGTCTCATTAAACAGAAGAAATTTTGGCTCAATTATGGTTATAAGTTGAGGACTACCTATAATTAATGAAAATAATTTAATCATAGACCAGCATAAGTGAACATATATCTTTTAAATGTTTATATATTATAACTAGCAGCATTTAATATTTGTAGATGTTATTTTTCTTTTATTGTTCAGGAGAATATGGATTGCGTAGAGATTTTTTTTTCTTTCTCAAGCCCTCATTTTGGTCAAAGAGAACAAAAAATTACAAAGAACTGTATGAAAGCAATATTAATGGGAACTTAGATTTCAATGAGATCATTGAAGCTGTATCATCAGAGTTTCAAGGAAAAGAAGCTATCAGGTATGATTGGCTATTCTGTGGTTTCCTTTCAATTGCTAAAGCCAGGTGCTAATATTTCTTTACCTAATTTGAAGTTTCTTACCTAAATTTCTTACCTAAGTTTGATAACTCAGAAGCTTACATGATCAGCCACTATGGACTAAGATTGAGTTTGAGGGTTTTAGTGCATACAATGTAAATATTATATAATGAATTTTATATGTGAATTCCATGAAGCCAACAGTTTTTTTAAAAGACTGTATAAAGAATTCACTTTGGAAAAAAAAACCTACTTCCAAAATTTTTGTTTAAAGCATTTAAGCACCATATCTGACCCAGCTGTTTTGAGGATCTTTTTATGTCATGCGAGTCATTTCGCTTCATGACTGCATTGTGTAGCAACGGCCATTCTTAAGTGAACCCCATAGTGTCATTAACCATGACATCACGTCACCATTTGTGACCTTTTGCCAGCTTTCCCATTGACTTTGCCTATTGGAAGCTGGCAGTGAAGATTGCAAATGGTAATCATATGACTGTAGGATACTGCAACATTGTAATTGCAAGCAGAATGCTGAGCAAGCATGGGATTGCAATCATGTGACCACAAGGATGCCGTGATGGTCAAAAATACAAGCACCAATCCTAAGTGGTACTAATTCAGTACCATTATAAATTTGAACAGTCACTGCTTGAATGGTCATTGAGGATCATGCTTGTGTATCCACAGAAGACCCTTGAAGTGACCACACAAGGCTTAAAGGAATGCAGTTTTTCAATGTTGGGGGCATTCTGTTTAGAGCATCAATCCAGATACTCTACGAAATCCTTTTTTTTTTTTAATTGTTGGCAAAGAGAAAGTTCACTTTAGGGAAAAAAATCATTTTTCTACTAAATCCCAAAATTGGGTGTGATAGATAAAGAATTATAGCAAGAAAACACTGAAACTATCAGTGTTTATAAACTATAATTTAAATCAATGGTCAGTAAGCATGAGTAAATCTGGCCATTATGTGTAAAAATCACCCATGGTATCTACATGTAGGAATTGCATTAGATATGTGAGTTGTATATAGCAAGCATCTAATTGATCATAAAAGTAAAACTGCTTGCATCAAACATAGTCAGAAGGTAATTTTTGCCCAGAGGCTGAGGCAAATAAAGTAGCTATATCAGCCTGAATGTTCAACATGTAGAAACTTTCTAAAGAGGAAATTGTGGTTTGTATTGAATATAATGAAAGTTGTTTGGGCTTAGGAAATCTTTGTACATGAATTAGTACTAAACAAATTGATCCATATCCTTTCACATATGTAGAACTGTTCTGTCAACTTTTTTTTTTTAGTATTTCAAACATGAATTTATTCATTTATTTCGAGTGTGGTGTATCATATAGGGGCTAGCAATATATATTAATATTTGACCTGAATTAGTAAAATATAATAAAATATACATGTTAAAAATATCTATGTTCAAATACCAATGTCTAGGCTTTCTAACCATTGAAGCGCAGCATCCTTTATGTTAAAATCAGATACTGGACCATTATATGCCCTCAGCCAGTCACGATGTGATCTACACTTTGGCATGAGACCCCGCAATCATGATTGGAGGAGGATGCTATTCCCCCATTTATGCAGAGAGTCCCAGCAGACACCATGTGAGGTGCAAATCCTATTCAGTATTATCCATTGCTGGATTTTGTGGAGTCATTTATATATCTACCTGTGACCCATTTGGCTTTACATTGGGAATCAATGTTAAAGTCGTTGAGTGGATGTTCTGTAAGTGCTAGTGGTATACAGTGTCTTTAGAATTTAATACCAGTATTGTACTGAATTCAACAACTATTTCTTACATTGACAAAGTTAAAATCCAAGGGAAAAATAGGATACTGAATTTAGATATGTTCCCTATTTAAGAGCTCTCAGAATCTGAGAAACTTTCAACTATGCTTTGTGAGTCTTCAGTTAGTGTTAATTTAGATTTGAGTAATATTCATGCTAACATAATGATTATTTCATATTGCTTGCTTTTATTTTCCTGAACTATTTCATTAAAAACAATTAAATTACAATGTTTTCTTTCAGAATCAACTCTGTCCAGAAATCTTTTGTTAAAAAAGGTGAAACTGTGGAGGCTTTAAAAAGTAAGAATTTGGCTATTTTCAACTATTTATCGTAATAAAAATCCTTGAAGTTTAAGTGGGGTTTTCTTGTCTTCTGATAACCAGAAACCTGCATTTTGGCAAGTTTCTGTTAAATAGTATATTAAATAATCTGTGAGTTTATTATGTTAATATTATGCTAAACATAAATTGTTTTTCAAAGATGAATGCAATTTTGTATTAAATGTATTTGTTTAATAGTAATATAATGATATAATAGTGTGGTATAACATAATTTACTTCTCCCTTGTTGGCATAATCATGTCATTATTTTATTAGATTTATCCTTTGATATATATGAGGGTCAGATTACAGCATTACTTGGACATAGTGGAACTGGCAAAACAACATTAATGAACATTCTTTGTGGATTGTGCCCACCTTCTGATGGTAAGTATGATCAAAATAATTTTGACTTGCCATATTTAATGGCAAGTAAAGAGAAAATGCACTACTTTAGGATATGTGTGTGTGTGTGTGTGTGTGT